CTCATCGTGACACATAGATACCCATAGAGATATATAGAGACCCATAGAGATACATAGAGACCCATAGAGATACGTAGAGACCCATCGTGCCACGTAGATACCCATAGAGTTATATAGAGACCTATAGAGATACATAGAGACCCGTAGAGATACGTAGAGACCCATCGTGACACGTAGACACCCATATAGATATATAGAGACCTATAGAGATACATAGAGACCCGCAGAGATACGTAGAGACCCATCGTGACACGTAGATACCCATAGAGATATATAGAGACCTATAGAGATACGTAGAGACCCGTAGAGATACATAGAGACCCATCGTGACACGTAGATACCCATAGATATATATAGAGACCTATTGAGATACATAGAGACCCGTAGAGATACATAGAGACCCATCGTGACACGTAGATACTCATTGAGATATATAGAGCCCCATAGAGATACATAGAGACCCGTAGAGATACGTAGAGACCCATCGTGACACGTAGATACCCATATAGATATATAGAGACCTATAGAGATACATAGAGACCCGCAGAGATACATAGAGACCCATCGTGACACGTAGATACCCATAGAGATATATAGAGACCTATAGAGATACAGAGACCCATAGATACCCATAGAGATACATAAAGACCCGTAGAGATACATAGAGACCCATCGTGACACGTAGATACCCATTGAGATATATAGAGACCTATAGAGATACAGAGACCCATAGATACCCATAGAGATACATAGAGACCCGTAGAGATACATAGAGACCCATCGTGACACGTAGATACCCATAGAGATATATAGAGACCTACAGAGATACGTAGAGACCTATAGAGATACATAGAGACCCACAGAGATACGTAGAGACCCATCGTGACACGTAGATACCCATATAGATATATAGAGACCTACAGAGATATGTAGAGACCCATAGAGATACATAGAGACCCATCGTGACACGTAGATACCCATGTAGATATATAGAGACCTATAGAGATACAGAGACCCATAGAGATACATAGAGATACATAAAGATTCATGTACAGAGGCACATAGAGACCCATAGAGATACATAGAGACCCACAGAGATACATAGATACCCATCGTGACACGTAGATACCCATAGAGATATATAGAGACCTATAGAGATACATAGAGACCCACAGAGATACGTAGAGACCCATCGTGACACGTAGATACCCATATAGATATATAGAGACCTACAGAGATACGTAGAGACCCGTAGAGATACATAGAGACCCATCGTGACACGTAGATACCCATGTAGATATATAGAGACCTATAGAGATACAGAGACCCATTGAGATACATAGAGATACATAAAGATCCATGTACAGAGACACATAGAGACCCATAGAGATACATAGAGACCCACAGAGATACATAGAGACCCTTGTACAAACACTTAGAGATCTATAGAGATACATAGAGACCCATAGAGATGCATAGAGACCCATGTACAGAGACACATAGAGACCCATAGAGATACATAGAGAGCCATTGAGATACACAGAGTACCATATTCAGCTATATAGATACAGAGATGCATAAAGACTCATAGAGGCACATATAAATATATAGAGATATATAGAGACCCGTAGAGATACATAGAGACACATATAAATATATATTTCTATATAATATATAGATATATATAAACCCATATTCTTAGATAATGATAGAGACCTGTAGAGATACATAGAGTCACATAGAGATACATAGAGACACAAAGAGATACTTAGAGACTCATAGAGACCCATAGAGATACATAGAGTCACATAGAGGTACTTAGAGACTCATAGAGACCTGTAGAGACACATAGAGTCACATAGAGCTACATAGAGACACATATATACCTATATAGATAGAGATACATAGATACCCATATATATTTACATAGAGACACATAGAGACTCACATAAATACATAGAAACACACGTAGAGATACTTGAAAGGAAATCCACAGTAGTGTGATTGTGGTCACACAACCCAAACTATGGACATTATAGTAAATCAATAGAGACTCACAGGGACACATAGAGACCCTAGAGACAGACATAGATACACAGAGACACACACAGACTCCTAGAGATACATAGAGACCCTAGAGCCAGATATAGATACACAGAGACACACAGACTCCTAGCGATACATAGAGACCCTAGAGACAGACATAGATACACAGAGACACACACAGACTCCTAGAGATACATTGAGACCCTAGAGACAGATATAGATGCACAGAGACACACACAGACTCCTAGAGATACATAGAGACCCATAGAGACATATATAGATACACAGAGACACACACAGTCTCCTAGAGATACATAGAGACCCAAAGAGACAGATATCGATACACAGAGACACACACAGACTCCTCGAGATACATAGAGACCCTAGAGACAGATATAGATACACAGAGACACACAGACTCCTAGAGATACATAGAGACCCTAGAGACAGATATAGATACGCAGAGACACACACAGACTCCTAGAGATACATAGAGACCCTAGAGACAGATATAGATACACAGAGACACACAGACTCCTAGCGATACATAGAGACACATAGAGACAGATATAGATACACAGAGACACACACAGACTCCTAGAGACCCTAGAGACAGATATAGATACACAGAGACACACACAGACTCCTAGAGATACATTGAGACCCTAGAGACAGATATAGATACACAGAGACACACACAGACTCCTAGAGATACATAGAGACCCATAGAGACATATATAGATACACAGAGACACACACAGACTCCTAGAGATACATAGAGACCCTAGAGACAGATATAGATACACAGAGACACACACAGACTCCTAGAGATACATAGAGACACATAGAGACAGATATAGAAAAACAGAGACACACACAGACTCATAGAGATACATAGAGACAGATATAGAAACACAGAGACACACACAGACTCCTAGAGATACATAGAGACCCTAGAGACCGATATGAATACACAGAGACACACACAGACTCCTAGAGGTACATAGAGAACCATAGAGACAGATATAGATGCACAGATACACACAGACTCCTAGAGATACATAGAGACCCTAGAGACAGATATAGATACACAGACACACACAGACTCCTAGAGATACATAGAGACACATAGAGACAGATATAGATACACAGAGACACACACAGACTCCTAGAGACCCTAGAGACAGATATAGATACACAGAGACACACACAGACTCCTAGAGATACATTGAGACCCTAGAGACAGATATAGATACACAGAGACACACACAGACTCCTAGAGATACATAGAGACACATAGAGACAGATATAGAAACACAGAGACACACACAGACTCCTAGAGATACATAGAGACCCTAGAGACAGATATAAATACACAGAGACACACACAGACTCCTAGAGGTACATAGAGAACCATAGAGACAGATATAGATACACAGACACACAAAGACTCCTAGAGACACATAGAGACCCTAGAGACAGATATAGATACACAGACACACACAGACTCCTAGAGATACATAGAGACACATAGAGACAGATATAGATACACAGAGACACACACAGACTCCTAGAGATACATTGAGACCCTAGAGACAGATATAGATACACAGAGACACACACAGTCTCCTAGAGATACATAGAGACCCAAAGCGACAGATATAGATACACAGAGACACACACAGACTCCTAGAGATACATAGAGACCCATAGAGACAGATATAGATACACAGAGACACACACAGACTCCTAGAGATACATAGAGACCCATAGAGACAGATATAGATACACAGAGACACACACAGACTCCTAAAGATACATAGAGACACATAGAGACAGATATAGATACACAGAGACACACAGACTCCTAGAGATACATAGAGACACATAGAAACATATATAGATACACAGAGACACACACAGACTCCTAGAGATATATAGAGACCCTAGAGACAGATATAGATACACAGACACACACACAGACTCCTAGAGATACATTGAGACCCTGGAGACAGATATAGATACACAGAGACACACACAGACTCCTAGAGATACATAGAGACCCTAGAGACAGGTATAGATACACAGAGACACACAGACTCCTAGAGATACATAGAGACCCTAGAGACAGGTATAGATACACAGAGACACACAGACTCATAGAGATACATAGAGACCCATAGAGACATATATAGATACACAGAGACACACACAGACTCCTGGAGATACATAGAGACACATAGAGACAGATATAGATACACAGAGACACACACAGACTCCTAGAGATACATAGAGACACATAGAGACAGATATAGATACACAGAGACACATAGAGACTCCTAGAGGTACATAGAGAACCATAGAGACAGATATAGATACACAGACACACACAGACTCCTAGAGATACATAGAGACCCTAGAGACAGATATAGATACACAGACACACACAGACTCCTAGAGATACATAGAGACACATAGAGACAGATATAGATACACAGAGACACACACAGACTCCTAGAGATACATAGAGACCCATAGAGACAGATATAGATACACAGACACACACACAGACTCCTAGAGATACATAGAGACCCTATAGATAGATATAGATACACAGAGACACACACAGACTCCTAGAGATACATAGAGACCCATAGAGACAGATATAGATACACAGAGACACATAAAGACTCCTAGAGGTACATAGAGACCCTAGAGACAGATATAGATACACAGAGACACACAGACTCCTAGAGATACATAGAGACCCTAGAGACAGATATAGATACGCAGAGACACACACAGACTCCTAGAGATACATAGAGACCCTAGAGACAGATATAGATACGCAGAGACACACACAGACTCCTATAGATACATAGAGACCCTAGAGACAGATATAGATACACAGAGACACACACAGACTCCTAGAGATACATAGAGACCCTAGAGACATGTTGAAGGCAAGCTACGGCAGTGCCACTGTGACTACGGACCACACAGTGAACCCACCGTGGTCTGCGCTCATTCAACGGAGGAGGAGGAACAGCGACATGACGTGAACTCCCTCTACTGAAGCCCTCTACACTGGCATCGAGCTCCTGAACCACGTGGCAACTGCTGCTGGCATCATGTGGGAGAGTAGAATCATCATCAGCATCATCACGCAAAGTGTCCTATGGTCGTGGGTGCGTGACGTACCCATGGGTGCCTGCCCCCCGCCCCCCCCCCCCCGATCCGTAGGAATAACTCGGACGCTGTCGCCCCCTCCGGCGTCCCCTTTGGGGGGCGCTCTGCCCCCCGCCACCCCCGCCGTACGCTTCTGGCCGCCCCCATGGGCTCTAAGGTCAGAGGTCACCCCCGTCGTCACCCCGGCAACACGTGGTCCCCGCGGGTTGGTTGCCACGGAAACGCTCGCGTGACCGGACGCTCGGATTCACCGCGTTGACGATCCGGCCACGGTTGTGTCGTAAGGACCCTCCACCACCTGACGCAGCCAAAGAAGTTGAATAATTACGCGGGTGTACGGCAACACGGCGATTGTTACTGTGTCACCTCGATCGCTCACTCACTCACTCAACCACTCACTCACTCACTCACCCACTCACTCACTCACTCACCCTCTCACTCACTCACTCACCCACTCACTCACCCACTCACTCACTCACCCACTCACTCACTCACTCAATCGGTCACTTACTCAACCACTCACTCACCCGCTCACTCGCTCACTCAATCGTTCACTTACTCAACCACTCACTCACCCACTCATTCACTCACTCAATCGGTCACTTACTCAACCACACACTCGCCCACTCACCCGCTCGCTCGCCCACTCATTCGCTCACTCACCCGCTCACTCACCCACTCGCTCACCCACTCACTCACTCAATCGGTCACTTACTCAACCACTCACTCGCCCACTCATGCGCTCACTCCCTCGCTCACCCACTCATTCGCTCACTCACCCACTTACTCGCCCACTCGCTCACCCACTCACTCAACCACTCACTCGCTGACTTACTCAACCACTCACCCACTCACTCACATATCGACTCACTCACTCACCCACTCACTCACCTACCGACTCACTCACCTACCGATTCACTCACTCACCTACTCACTCACCTACCGACTCACTCACCCACCCACTCACTCACCTACGGACTCACTCACCCACCTACCGACTCACTCACTCACCTACCGACTCACTCACTCAGCCACTCACTCACATTCCCGCTTAATCGCTCGCTGACCAAGTGAGCCCCACGTAGCGCGTTCGCCGCTTGCTGCAGAGGTATGCGGTTCGACTCCGGCAGGCCGCCCTGGTTAACACTGCGGCCGTGCGTGTCCCGTCGTCACGGGACAAATTCGCCAAATTCAAAATGCGCTGTCCACCGCGAATCGCTCAGTTGGGATTGCGCACTCGGCAGCAATTGTCGCCCCCTACTGGCAGAAGACCGATGCCGGCATGCAGGCCAGGTGCTGACTCCGATATAGCGCCACACAGAGACAGCTGACACTGAGGACGCCCAGTAAGTCACTCATGATTGTTGAAGTTGAAACACCGCATCCCCACCCCAATCAGGGAGAGGGTGAGTGGCTCGGGGAGAGGGTGAGTGACTCAGGGAGTGGGTGACTTGGGGAGAGGGTGAGTGGCTCGGGGAGAGGGAGAGTGACTCGGGGAGCGGGTGACTTGGGGAGAGGGTGAGTGACTTGGGGAGAGGGTGAGTGACTCGGGGAGAGGGTGAGTGACTCGGGGAGAGGGTGAGTGACTCGGGGAGAGGGTGAGTGACTCGGGGAGAGGGTGACTTGGGGAGAGGGTGAGTGACTCGGGGAGAGGGTGACTTGGGGAGAGGGTGAGTGACTTGGGGAGAGGGTGAGTGACTCGGGGAGAGGGTGAGTGACTCGGGGAGAGGGTGACTTGGGGAGAGGGTGAGTGACTCTGGGAGAGGGTGAGTGACTCGGGGAGAGGGTGAGTGACTTGGCGAGAGGGTGAGTGACTCGGGGAGAGGGTGACTTGGGGAGAGGGTGAGTGACTCTGGGAGAGGGTGAGTGACTCGGGGAGAGGGTGAGTGACTCGGGGAGAGGGTGACTTGGGGAGCGGGAGAGTGACTCGGGGAGCGGGTGACTTGGGGAGAGGGTGAGTGACTCTGGGAGAGGGTGAGTGACTCGGGGAGAGGGTTACTTGGGGAGAGGGTGAGTGACTTGGGGAGAGGGTGAGTGACTCGGGGAGAGGGTGAGTGACTTGGCGAGAGGGTGAGTGACTCGGGGAGAGGGTGACTTGGGGAGAGGGTGAGTGACTCTGGGAGAGGGTGAGTGACTCGGGGAGAGGGTGACTTGGGGAGAGGGTGAGTGACTTGGGGAGAGGGTGAGTGACTCGGGGAGAGGGTGAGTGACTCGGGGAGAGGGTGAGTGACTCGGGGAGAGGGTGAGTGACTCGGGGAGAGGGTGAGTGACTCGGGGAGAGGGTGACTTGGGGAGAGGGTGAGTGACTCGGGGAGAGGGTGACTTGGGGAGAGGGTGAGTGACTTGGGGAGAGGGTGAGTGACTCGGGGAGAGGGTGAGTGACTCGGGGAGAGGGTGACTTGGGGAGAGGGTGAGTGACTCTGGGAGAGGGTGAGTGACTCGGGGAGAGGGTGAGTGACTCGGGGAGAGGGTGACTTGGGGAGCGGGAGAGTGACTCGGGGAGCGGGTGACTTGGGGAGAGGGTGAGTGACTCTGGGAGAGGGTGAGTGACTCGGGGAGAGGGTTACTTGGGGAGAGGGTGAGTGACTTGGGGAGAGGGTGAGTGACTCGGGGAGAGGGTGAGTGACTTGGCGAGAGGGTGAGTGACTCGGGGAGAGGGTGACTTGGGGAGAGGGTGAGTGACTCTGGGAGAGGGTGAGTGACTCGGGGAGAGGGTGACTTGGGGAGAGGGTGAGTGACTTGGGGAGAGGGTGAGTGACTCGGGGAGAGGGTGAGTGACTTGGGGAGAGGGTGATTTGGGGAGAGGGTGAGTGACTTGGCGAGAGGGTGAGTGACTCTGGGAGAGGGTGAGTGACTCAGGGAGAGGGTGAGTGACTCGGGGAGCGGGTGACTTGGGGAGAGGGTGAGTGACTTGGGGAGAGGGTGACTTGGGGAGAGGGAGAGTGACTCGGGGAGCGGGTGACTTGGGGAGAGGGAGAGGGTGAGTGACTCGGGGAGAGGGTGACTTGGGGAGAGGGTGAGTGACTTGGGGAGCGGGTGACTCGGGTAGAGGGTGAGTGACTCGGGGAGAGGGTGACTTGGGGAGCGGGAGAGTGACTCGGGGAGCGGGTGACTTGGGGAGAGGGTGAGTGACTCGGGGAGAGGGTGACTTGGGGAGAGGGTGAGTGACTCGGGGAGAGGGTGAGTGACTCGGGGAGAGGGTGACTTGGGGAGAGGGTGAGTGACTCTGGGAGAGGGTGACTTGGGGAGAGGGTGAGTGACTCGGGGAGAGGGTGAGTGACTCTGGGAGAGGGTGAGTGACTCTGGGAGAGGGTGACTTGGGGAGAGGGAGAGTGACTCGGGGAGAGGGTGACTTGGGGAGAGGGTGAGTGACTTGGGGAGAGGGTGAGTGACTCGGGGAGAGGGTGACTTGGGGAGCGGGAGAGTGACTCGGGGAGAGGGTGAGTGACTCTGGGAGCGGGTGACTTGGGGAATGGGAGAGGGTGAGCGACTTGGCGAGAGGGTGAGTCACTCTAGGAGAGGGTGGCTAAGAGAGGAGGAGCGAGGGGGTTGGGGGTGTGAGCGAGCTGAGGGGGCCCCGTGTGGTCGCAGGCCGCTGGCGGGGGAGCAGGGAGGGGGCCCAGCGGTCCCTGCCGAGGGGCCGCGGGGCCGAGCGGGGGCCCTGCACCGGGCCCTGTGGCTCCTCGAGACGCTGGCGCTGGGGCACAGAGACGTGGCGGACACCCGCCTGGGCCACAGCCTCGGGTCCCGCGAGGTGAGGTTCACGCTCACTCGAGACAAAGACAAAGGTCCCCCGTGTAGCCTTAGCAGACTGCTGGGGCAAGTGCTGTTAGGGGGTGGGTGGCCAGCACCACGCCCGGCCGCCTTTGTCTCCCCATTAGCGATGTTTACACACCGCAGCAGGTGCTCATTTGAGGCTGAGTCGACCTAGGGGAGGCCCAGGACCGGCTCATGTAATCGTCACCGCCGGTGTTGTCCATGAGCGGACACACTCACGCATGCACAGCAATGACAGGATGACCCGCGTCCGCGACACGGTCACCCAGCGTCCCATTGTCCACCGCTATGGCCACGGGAAGCTTCTCGAACCGCGTGGCCAAAGAAGACGTTGACCAGTGTGGACGCTGCCCAGCATCGCGACGACTCTTCACGATAGGAATATGTTTTACCCTTTTAACTGGCACTAAAAACTGACACCTCTATTCAAGGCATCATGTTTGCAATAACCACAACACAAGCAGTCAAAATGCAAACAAAAAAGACAACTCTGATAATAATATGCACTGTCCTTGAATTTGATTGGTCCACACCCGAGACAGCTTTTCTTAGAGCCTAGTCTCCATTGGTGTTGGACCAGAAGACGCCAAAAGGCGTACAACTCAAAAACAGGGCACTATCAGAGTATAGTGCCCTGTTTTTGAGTTATCACTATCAGAGTATAGTGCGCTGTTTTTGAGTTATCACTATCAGAGTATAGTGCGCTGTTTTTGAGTTATCACAATCAGAGTATAGTGCACTGTTTTTGAGTTGTACGCCTGTTGGCGTCTTCTGGTCCAACACCAATGGAGACTAGGCTCTAAGAAAAGCCGTCTCGGGTGCGGACCAATCAAATTCAAGGACAGTGCCAATATTATTGTCAGAGTTGTCTTTTTTGTTTGCATTTTGACTGCTTGTGTTGTGGTCATTGCAAACATGATCCCCTGTATAAAGGTGTCAGTTTTTGCACCAGCTAAAAGGGTGAAAACCTATTACTATATCTTGTTACTGGCAAAGGAGGTCTCAGAATGTAAAAGACTCTTCACGATGGTGAGCGCAGAGTCGGAGGCCCTCGGCGAGTAGGAAGAGCAACAGCCCAGAGGCCCGGCCTGCCGATGGGTTCGTAGGCCCTGGCCTAGCGGAGATGTCGGGGCCCTGGCCTAGCGGAGATGTCGGGGCCCTGGCCCTGGCCCGCGAGCCCTCACGCCCTCCCCCGCCCCCCCCTCCCCCCAGGCCCCCGTGCGGTCGGAGGGGCCGGAGCGGCGAGGAGTGGGGGGCGCCCCCCCGAGCCGGGCCGAGTCACGGGCGCTGGGCCGTCTCCTCTCCGCCTACCTGAGCCCCCGGCGACACCGCTACGGGGGGTGGGGGGGCGCCGTGGGGGGCGCCGTGGGGGGCGCCGTGGGGGGGCCCGGCCCCTACCCCCCCCGCCCGGGCCGTGTTTGGGGGGAGGGCGGCGGGGGGGGGGCGCTACCCCAGCAGCCCCGGCGTGTGGGGGCACAGCGAGACCAGGGTGGAGACGGGTAGGCAGTGTGTCACTGTGTGTGTGTCACTGTTTGTGTCACTGTGTGTGTCACTGTGTGTGTCACTGTGTGTGTCACTGTGTGTGTGTCACTGTGTGTGTCACTGTGTGTGTCACTGTGTGTGTCACTGTGTGTGTCACTGTGGGTGTGTGTGTCACTGTGTGTGTGTCACTGTGTGTGTCACTGTGTGTGTGTGTCACTGTGTGTGTGTGTCACTGTGTGTGTGTGTCACTGTGTGTGTCACTGTGTGTGTCACTGTGTGTGTGTCACTGTGTGTGTGTGTGTCACTGTGTGTGTGTGTCACTGTGTGTGTGTCACTGTGTGTGTCACTGTGTGTGTCACTGTGTGTGTGTGTCATTGTGGGTGTCACTGTGTTACATATTTCAGTTTAACTCGTGGTTTCGTGGTAATTAATTGAAGGTGGAGGGGTTACCAGCCCCTCGCACCCGTCCAGAGCCCCCGTTTAGCCCCTGTGGTGGATACATATGCCATGAGGGGAGGAGCCAATCAAAATTGGATCTCCCCCCACAGCACTGTCCACGACAGAGTTGTCCGTCCGGCACCGCGAGGAGGTAGGGGGTTGTTTTGCCTTGCCAGGCATGCTGAGGAGAGGCTTGCGGAGCCCCAATGCGGTTTCAGGATAGGGCGGTCCTGCACAGATGCCATATTTTCTGTCCGTCTGCTACAGCAGAGGTGTAGGGAATTCCAACAAGACCTACATCTCTGCTTTATTGACCTGGTCAAGGCCTATGATACCATCAGTAGGCCTGGGCTCTGGGTCATTCTTCGTGCTTTTGGAGTACCTGACCCTCTGCTCACGATCATTAAGGACCTTCATGATGGTGAGCGGGCCCGGGTAAAACTACGTGGCCGGGAGTCAGAGCCATTCCCTGTACACCTTGGGGTGCGACAGGGATGTCCTCTGGCTCCCACATTATTTAACATCTATTTTGACCACGTAGTTCGTGAAGCCTTCAATAGCTGTACCGGGGGAATCTCCATATGGTACAGATATAAGGGGAGGCTGATCGATGCCCGGGTGCGGTCAAGGGATGGCTCCATATTGCTCAACCACGTTATGTATATTGATGATTTGGTAATAGCTGCTCAGTCAGAAGAGGAGTTGGAGACGCTGCTGCTGAGACTGGAGCGTGCCACTAAGAGGTGGGGCCTTACCATCAGCCCCACCAAAACTAAGCACCTGCCTGGGTATTTTGTACCATCGGACACTCCACCCCCACAACTCCCGATCGGTGATGGGGCAGTTGTGGAGAGAGTGGAGAGTTTCCCATACCTGGGCAGTGTGCTTATGACTGGCTCCAGTTTAACAGCAGAGGTCTCATTCCGAATCAGCCGAGCGGCAATATCTTTTCATCGTTTGCGTAATGCTGTGTGGAAGCTACCTGGTCTGTCGCTCCGCACTAGGCTTCAGGTCTTCTCGGCCACGGTCATTCCCTCCCTTCTCTATGCTTGCGAAACGTGGACCCCCGTGTGGAGCATCTTCGCCGGTTAGAAACATTTAGGCTGGCCTCCCCACGATCCATCCTGGGTTTAACCAGACTGGATTGTGTGAGGAGCTCACAAATCCTTGAAAGATCTGGGCAAGGTCCCATCGGTGAGCTCCTCCGGCGGGCAAGGCTGCGATGGCTGGGTCATGTAGCCCGCATGCCCAGCCACCGCATGCCGAAACAGCTTTTGTTCGGCCGGATCGAGGGGGCTAAGCGGGCGCGGCACGGGCTAGAGAAGAGATGGAGTGATGTGGTACAGGAGGACGTGGAGCTGAGTGGACTTGCCAATGACTGGTACCAGCGGTGTCAAAATCGGCCTCTGTGGAGGAGGCTCGTGAAGGACGCTACTGGGCAGTTGGAGGCAGACGCCCTCCAACAACAACGGAGGGTGGAGGAGCGACGCTCACAACAACGAGCGGAGCGCCGGGTGGCTAAAGCACAGCAGGTTGGCACAGTAGGGGGCACAGGTGGTGCATCAGCCAGTCATCTCAGTCAGTCGACCCGTGGCACCTGGGTCTGCCCCGTGACCTCCTGCCAGCGGGCTTTTGACACTTCACATGGCCTCAAGGTGCACATGGCTTGACACAAGCGTCGTGGTGACGTCACCGCCACTTAGTGGCGAATGGCGGTTGTTGTTGTGTCACTTTGTGTGTCACTGTGTGTCACTGTGTTGGTCACTGTGTGTCGCTGTGTGTGTCGCTGTGTGTGTCACATTGTGTGTCGCTGTGTGTGTGTCACTTTGTGTGTCGCTGTGTGTGTCGCTGTGTGTGTGTGTCGCTGTGTGTGTGTGTGTGTCGCTGTGTGTGTCACTGTGTGTGTGTGTCACTGTGTGTGTGTCACTGTGTGTGTGTGTCACTGTGTGTGTGTGTCACTGTGAGTGTCACTGTGTGACAAAACAACCCCCTACCTCCTCGCGGTGCCGGACGGGCAACTCTGTCGTGGACAGTGCTGTGGGGGGAGGTCCAATTTCGATTATCTCCTCCCCTCATGGCATCTGTGTCCACCACAGGGGCTAAACGGGGGCTCTGGACAGGTGCGAGGGGCTGGTAACCCCTCCACCTTCAATTAATTACCACTAAACCGCGAATTAAGTATATAACTAATAAGCTTGTGCCGGAGGCCCCGGGGGGCCAGGCGTCTATGACGTCTCCTGGCCAAATCCCAATTGGCGGAGCCAGGAGATTGAATACCTACCCTCGGGGCTCCTCCAGAAACAACGAAAAACAACTAGGGGGGGGGGCACGTGGAATGTTCGAACGCTCACTGCGGAGGAGAGGCTGCCACTCCTCTGTCGGGAGCTGGACCGGTACCGCCTGGATCTATGTGGCATTCAGGAGGTCCGGTGGACCGGTTCTGGCTCCTGCCACCATGAGGGGTGGACAGTCCTCTACTCGGGGCAGCAGACTGCCAAACAACAGGGTGTGGCTCTTCTTTGGAAAAAAAGAATGAAGGGGGCGTGGGAGCGTGGCGGTGAGGTGTGGGAAGCTGTAAGCCCCAGGCTACTTTGGACTTGCCTTCCCATCAACTGGAGGCGAGGAATGGTGGTCGTGGTTACTTATGCCCCGACCGAAGATGAACATCCGTGGAGGGATGCAGGCAAAGCCGATGAGTCAGATGCCTTCTATGACCTCCTGTCACAGGTGCTGGCTAAAGTGGCCCCTCAGGATAGAGTCATCATGTTGGGTGACTTCAATGCCCGAGTTGGTCATGATGCTGGCACCTGGTCTGGAGTGATTGGAGGGCATGGGCCAGATCAGCTCAATAACAACGGTAGGAGGCTGCTAGATTTTTGTGCAGCCCATGGGCTTGTAATTACCAACACGCTGTTCCGGCATCGGCGCATCCACACAACATCATGGATGCATGCCGGGTCCAAGCAAGAACATCTGCTGGACTACATAGTGACGGACCAGCGGATGCGAGCCCATGTCCTTGACTCCAGGACCTACCGTGGAGCTGGTCTGCCCTCTAACCATCGACTAGTCATCTGTAAGATGCGCTGCCATTCTTTCACTCCGGTGGTGGGTGTACACCCAGGACCCTATTCCAACCTAAAGTGGCCTGGTCTCAGTTATCTGATGAAAGTTGCAAGCGAGAATTTCATCATCGCTTGCGGCTGGGATTGGCATCGTCCCCGACTCCTCCTGCTGTCGAGTGTAAATGGGCGAGGTTTAGGACTGTGACTCATGCAGCTGCAATGGCTGCTTTGGGTACGCGGTCCAGACCTCCCCAGAGATCCTGGCTGACAGAGGAGGTGTCAGGATGGTTGAGAAAAAGCGACAGGCCCACTGTCATCGGCTACAGAATCCCACGTCAGAGAATGAGGAGACTTACCGCAGCCTTCCCTCGGAGGTTCGGAGAGCCGTGAGACGCTGCAGGGATGGGTGGGACCGCACAGACTGTAACAACTACAGGGTCATCTCACTCCTCAGTGTGCCGGGAAAGGTCCTGGCAAGGATTATTCAGCATCGCCTTGCCAGGCACGCTGAGGAGAGGCTTGCGGAGCCCCAATGCGGTTTCAGGAAAGGGCGGTCCTGCACAGATGCCATATTTTCTGTCCGTCTGCTACAGCAGAGGTGTAGGGAATTCCAACAAGACCTACATTTCTGCTTTATTGACCTGGTCAAGGCCTATGATACCATCAGTAGGCCTGGGCTCTGGGTTGTTCTTCGTGCTTTTGGAGTACCTGACCCTCTGCTCACGATCATTAAGGACCTTCATGATGGTGAGCGGGCCCAGGTAAAACTACGTGGCTGGGAGTCAGAGCCATTCTCTGTACACCTTGGGGTGCGACAGGGATGTCCTCTGGCTCCCACATTATTTAACATCTATTTTGACCACGTAGTTTGTGAAGCCTTCAATAGCTCTACCGGGGGAATCTCCATATGGTACAGATATAAGGGGAGGCTGATCGATGCCCGGGTGCGGTCAAGGGATGGCTCCCTATTGCTCAACCACGTTATGTATGCTGATGATTTGGTAATAGCTGCTCAGTCAGAGGAGGAGTTGGAGACGCTGCTGCTGAGACTGGAGCGTGCCACTAACAGGTGGGACCTTACCATCAGCCCCACCAAAACTAAGCACCTGCCTGGGTATTTTGTACCATCGGACACTCCACCCCCACAACTCCCAATCGGTGATGGGGCAGTTGTGGAGAGAGTGGAGAGTTTCCCATACCTGGGCAGTGTGCTTATGACTGGCTCCAGTTTAACAGCAGAGGTCTCATTCCGAATCAGCCGAGCGGCAATATCTTTTCATCGTTTGCGTAATGCTGTGTGGAAGCTACCTGGTCTGTCGCTCCGCACTAGGCTTCAGGTCTTCTCGGCCACGGTCATTCCCTCCCTTCTCTACGCTTGCGAAACGTGGACCCCCGTGTGGAGCATCTTCGCCGGTTAGAAACATTTAGGCTGGCCTCCCCACGATCCATCCTGGGTTTAACCAGACTGGATTGTGTGAGGAGCTCACAAATCCTTGAAAGATCTGGGCAAGGTCCCATCGGTGAGCTCCTCCGGCGGGCAAGGCTGCGATGGCTGGGTCATGTAGCCCGCATGCCCAGCCACCGCATGCCGAAACAGCTTTTGTTCAGCCGGATTGAGGGGGCTAGGCGGGCGCGGCACAGGCTAGAGAAGAGATGGAGTGATGTGGTACAGGAGGACGTGGAGCTGAGTGGACTTGCCGATGACTGGTACCAGCGGTGTCAAGATCGGCCTCTGTGGAGGAGGCTCGTGAAGGATGCTACTGGGCAGTTGGAGGTAGTCGCCCTCCAACAACAACGGAGGGCGGAGGAGCGACACTCACAACAACGAGCGGAGCGCCGGGTGGCTAAAGCACAGCAGGTTGGCACAGTAGGGGGCACAGGTGGTGCATCAGCCAGTCATCTCAGTCAGTCGACCCGTGGCACCTGGGTCTGCCCCGTGACCTCCTGCCAGCGGGCGTTCGACACTTCACGTGGCCTCAGGGTGCACATAGCCTGGCACAAGCGTCGTGGTGACGTCACCGCCACTTAGTGGCGAATGGCGGTTGTTGTGTGTCACTGTGTGTGTGTCACTGTGTGTGTGTGTGTCGCTGTGTGTGTGTGTCACTTTGTGTGTCGCTGTGTGTGTGTCACTATGTGTGTGTGTGTCACTTTGTGTGTGTCACCGTGTGTGTGTCACTGTGTGTGTGTCGCTGTGTGTGTGTCACTGTGTGTGTGTGTCACTTTGTGTGTGTGTCTCCGTGTGTGTGTCACTGTGTGTGTCGCTGTGTGTGTGTGTCACTGTGTGTGTGTCGCTGTGTGTGTCGCTGTGTGTGTCACTGTGTGTGTGTCACTGTGTGTGTCACTGTGTGTGTGTCACTGTGTGTGTGTCACTGTGTGTGTGTGTGTCACTGTGTGTGTCACTGTGTGTGTGTGTCACTGCGTGTGTGTGTCACTGTGTGTGTCACTGTGTGTGTGTGTCACTGTGTGTGTCACTGTGTGTGTCACTGTGTGTGTGTCACTGTGTGTGTCACTGTGTCACTGTGTGTGTGTGTCACTGTGTGTGTGTCACTGTGTGTGTCACTGTGTCACTGTGTGTGTGTGTGTGTCCTTGTGTGTCTGTCACTGTGTGTCACTGTGTGTGTGTGTCACTGTGTGTCACTGTGTGTGTCACTGTGTGTGTGTCACTGTGTGTGTGTCACTGTGTGTGTCACTGTGTGTGTGTGTCCTTGTGTGTGTGTCACTGTGTGTGTCACTGTGTGTGTGTGTCACTGTGTGTCACTGTGTGTGTCACTGTGTGTGTGTGTCACTGTGTGTGTCACTGTGTGTGTCACTGTGTGTGTGTGTCACTGTGTGTGTGTGTCACTGTGTGTGTCACTGTGTGTGTCACTGTGTGTGTGTGTCACTGTGTGTCACTGTGTGTGTCACTGTGTGTGTCACTGTGTGTGTCACTGTGTGTGTGTGTCACTGTGTGTCACTGTGTGTGTCACTGTGTGTGTGTGTGTCACTGTGTGTGTCACTGTGTGTGTGTCACTGTGTGTGTCACTGTGTGTGTCACTGTGTGTGTGTGTCACTGTGTGTGTGCGTGTGTCACTGTGTGTGTCACTGTGTGTGTGTCACTGTGTGTGTCACTGTGTGTGTCACTGTGTGTGTGTGTCACTGTGTGTGTGCGTGTGTCACTGTGTGTGTCACTGTGTGTGTGTGTGTCACTGTGTGTGTGTGTGTCACTGTGTGTGTCACTGTGTGTGTGTGTCACTGTGTGTGTCACTGTGTGTGTCACTGTGTGTGTGTGTCACTGTGTGTGTCACTGTGTGTGTCACTGTGTGTGTGTCACTGTGTGTGTGTGTGTGTCACTGTGTGTGTCACTGTGTGTGTCCCTGTGTGTGTGTGTCACTGTGTGTTTGTGTCACTGTGTGTGTCACTGTGTGTGTGTGTCACTGTGTGTGTCACTGTGTGTGTGTGTCACTGTGTGTGTGTGTCACTGTGTGTGTCACTGTGTGTGTCACTGTGTGTGTGTGTCACTGTGTGTGTCACTGTGTGTGTGTGTGTCACTGTGTGTGTCACTGTGTGTGTCACTGTGTGTGTGTGTCACTGTGTGTGTCACTGTGTGTGTGTGTGTCACTGTGTGTGTCACTGTGTGTGTCACTGTGTGTGTCACTGTGTGTGTGTCACTGTGTGTGTCACTGTGTGTGTCACTGTGTGTGTGTGTGTCACTGTGTGTGTGCGTGTGTCACTGTGTGTGTCACTGTGTGTGTGTCACTGTGTGTGTCACTGTGTGTGTCACTGTGTGTGTGTGTCACTGTGTGTGTGCGTGTGTCACTGTGTGTGTCACTGTGTGTGTGTGTGTCACTGTGTGTGTGTGTCACTGTGTGTGTCACTGTGTGTGTCACTGTGTGTGTGTCACTGTGTGTGTCACTGTGTGTGTCACTGTGTGTGTGTGTCACTGTGTGTGTCACTGTGTGTGTCAGTGTGTGTGTGTCACTGTGTGTGTGTGTGTCACTGTGTGTGTCACTGTGTGTGTCCCTGTGTGTGTGTGTCACTGTGTGTGTCACTGTGTGTGTGTGTCACTGTGTGTGTCACTGTGTGTGTGTGTCACTGTGTGTGTCACTGTGTGTGTCACAGACCCCGTGCGGGCCGCCCTCGAGTCCGAGCTCTCCTTCTACGGCCTCAGCCTCTCCGACCTCTCCCCGGCCCAGGTCGCCGCCCTGGTCGCCGTGGTAACGGACGGGCAGGGGAGCCCCCCTAGCCCCCCGGTCGCCGCGGAGACGGGGGGAGGGCGGCAGGGCCCCCCGCCGGGCCCGGACGGCGAGGAGGTAGAGCGCGGGAGAGTGAGGGGGGGCCCGGTGGGCCCGGTGGGCCCGGGGGGCCCGGTGGGGCCGGGGGGCCCGGGGGGCCGTCTCGGGCCCCCGGGCTCCTGGGATCTCGAGAGACTCCTCGGGGGGGGGCGGCACGGCTACGAGGAGGAGGAGGAGGAGCAGCAGGGCCCCGAGGGGGGGCCGCCCCTGCCCAGCCGCCCCCTCGCGTCACGTGACCCCGCCGGAGCATCGCCGTTGGCCGTCGCTCCGACCCCCGCCGGCCTCCCGGGGGGGGTCCCCGGCGTGGAGAGCCCCCCGGGAGGGGTAGGGGGGGGCACCACGAGTCTGGAGTACGGATACGTGGTCGCTGATCACGAGTGAGTGCCCCCCACCCCCCTCACTGCCCCCCCCACTGCCCCCCGCACGCCACGGCCCGGCAGGGTGCCGTCCTCACCTGCCCCCTGCTGCTCCGTGTTCAAGATCGGCCTCTGTGGGCGGAGGAGGGTGGACGGTGCTGGGCGGTGCCAGTCTAGGTGCACGTTGGGGATTTGGAGGCAGCCGCCCTCCGACAGCGGAGGGGAGCGCCGTGGGGAGCACAGCTGGTGGGGCGCATCTGCCAGCACCTAGCCTGGCACGAGCGTCGTAGTGATGCCACTTAGTGGTGGTGGTTGTTGTGTCCACGTGTCGGCGGTGTGTCGGCGGTGTAGCGGTTCGCGAGTTTGATTCCCGCTCACGGCCAACACCAGTGACGAGCCTCCCCTAGGTCGACCCAGCCTCAAATGAGTACCTGGTGCGGGGAGACAAAGACGGCTAGTTGTGGTTCTGGCCACCCACCCCCTCGTGAGCCACAGTGCCGGCCTTCACAGGAGCTACACGTGAGCAGCACTTGCCCCAACAGTCTGTTCAGGCTATCTGGGGGATCTTTGTCTGTGTGTGAGCAGCCCTCTGAGTGTGCGGGATGGGCTGCTGCTCATGGAGGCGCTGTCCCACAACCTGGGGATCTCCCTCACCTCCTTCACAGACGTCAAGTGAGGTCACACGGACTCACGCGTAGACTCACACGGACTCACACGGACTCACACATAGACTCACACGGACTCACACGTAGACTCACACGGACTCACACGGAGTCACGCGTAGACTCACACGTAGACACACATAGACTCACACGGACTCACACGTAGACTCACACGGACTCACACGGACTCACACGTAGACTCACACGTAGACACACATAGACTCACACGGACTCACGCGTAGACTCACACGGACTCACACGTAGACTCACACGGACTCACACTGGCTCACATGTAGACTCACGCGTAGACTCACACATAGACTCACGTAGACTCACACGTAGACTCACACGGACTCACACATAGACTCACACGTAGACTCACACGTAGACTCACACGTAGACTCACACATAGACTCACACTGGCTCACACGTAGACTCACACGTAGACTCACACATAGACTCACACATAGACACACATAGACTCACACATAGACTCAGTTAGACTCACACGTAGACTCACACGTAGACTCACACATAGACTCACACATAGACTAACACATAGACTCACACGTAGACTCACACGTAGACTCACACGTAGACTCACACTGGAACCAGACTTACCAGGGTATTGCGTGTGTTCTTCGTGTCCCTGTCTCTCCTGTATCCATGTCCTCATATCCCTGTGTCTCTGTGTCTCTGTATCCCCATGTCCCCTAATCTCCGTGTCTCTGTGTCTCTGTCTCTGTGTCTCTGTGTCTCCGTGTCTCTGTGTCTCCGTATCCCCATGTCTCTGTATCCCCTAATCTCCGTGTCACTGTGTCTCCGTGTCTCTGTATCCCCTAATCTCTGTGTCACTGTGTCTCCGTATCTCTGTATCCCCATGTCCCCTAATCTCCATGTCTCTGTGTCTCCGTGTCTCCGTATCCCCTAATCTCCGTGCCTCTGTGTCTCTGTGTCTCTGTGTCTCCGTATCCCCTAATCTCCATGTCTCTGTGTCTCTGTGTCTCTATCCCCGTGTCTCTGTGTCTCTGTGTCTCCGTATCCCCATGTCCCCTAATCTCCGTGTCTCTGTGTCTCCGTGTCTCCGTGTCTCTGTGTCTCTGTGTCTCTGTGTCCCCATGTCCCCTAATCTCCGTGTCTCCGTGTCTCTGTGTCTCTGTGTCCCCATGTCCCCTAATCTCCGTGTCTCCGTGTCTCTGTGTCTCTGTGTCCCCATGTCCCCTAATCTCCGTGTCTCCGTGTCTCTGTGTCTCTGTGTCTCTGTGTCCCCATGTCCCCTAATCTCCGTGTCTCTGTGTCTCCGTGTCTCTGTGTCACTGTGTCTCTGTGTCTCTGTATCCCCATGTCCCCTAATCTCCGTGTCACTGTGTCTCTGTGTCACTGTGTCTCTTTATCTCTGTGTCTCCGTGTCTCTGTATCCCCATGTCCCCTAATCTCCGTGTCTCTGTGTCTCCGTGTCTCTGTGTCACTGTGTCTCTGTGTCTCTGTATCCCCATGTCCCCTAATCTCCGTGTCACTGTGTCTCTGTGTCACTGTGTCTCTGTGTCTCTGTGCCTCTGTATCCCCATGTCCCCTAATCTCCGTGTCTCTGTGTCTCTGTGTCTCTGTGTCTCCGTGTCTCTGTATCCCCATGTCCCCTAATCTCCGTGTCACTGTGTCTCTGTGTCTCCGTGTCTCTGTGTCTCTGTGTCTCTGTGTCTCTGTATCCCCATGTCCCCTAATCTCCGTGTCTCTGTGTCTCCGTGTCTCTGTATCCCCTAATCTCCATGTCTCTGTGTCTCTGTGTCTCTGTATCCCCATGTCCCCTAATCTCCGTGTCTCTGTATCCCCATGTCCCCTAATCTCCGTGTCTCTGTGTCTCCGTGTCTCTGTATCCCCATGTCACTGTGTCTCCGTGTCTTTGTCCAGCGTGATCGGCCCAGCGCTCGCGTTCCAGATCGGACAGAACCAGCAGAACTTGTCGGTGTCCAGCATTGCCGAGGCCGCAGGTACGAGGACACGAACACCGCTTACGCGCGTTTACCTCCTCCTGTGTGTGGTGTGTGGGGAGCGCTAGTGTAGCGCGCTGCGCTATGAACTCAGTGGCCCGAGTTTGAGTCCTAGTCCTGCGGTGGACAATGGGACGCTGGTTGACCGTGTCACTGACGCGGGTGATCCTGTCATTGCTGTGCATGTGTGAGTGTGTCCGCTCATGGATAACACCGGTGGTGACGATTACATGAACCGGTCCTGGGCCTCCCCTAGGTCGACTCAGCCTCAAATGCGTACCTGGTGCAGTGTGTAAACATCGCCAATGGGGAGACAAAGGCAGCCGGGCGTGGTGCTGGCCACCTACCCCCTCGCTAACAGCCTGGTTAAATCCATCCTGGTTAAATCCATCCTGGTTAAATCCATCCTGGATTTATCCAGGATGCATTGTGCAAGGAGCTAATTACCCACTACGACGTAAACTTCCCCCGCACATGAAGCGATCCCCCTCCTCAACCTCCTTCCATTACCCTCCCGAAGCCCCTCACCTCCGTCGCCCATTCCCTTCTTCTCTCCTCCACTCAGTCCCATCCCTCCCCTACAGCCCCTTGCCGTGACCCCCACGTGACCCTCCGGTACGATGCCTCCCCTACAGCCCCTTGCCGTGACCCCCACGTGACCGCCACGTGACCCCCCGGTACGATGCCTCCCCTACAGCCCCTTGCCGTGACCCCCACACGACCCTCCAGTACGATGCCGGCCCTACGGCCCCTTGCCGTGACCCCCACGTGACCCCCACGTGACCCTCCGGTACGATGCCTCCCCTACGGCCCCTTGCCGTGACCCCCACGTGACCCCCACGTGACCCTCCGGTACGATGCCTCCACTCCTCGGCCCTTGCACCGCCCCTGCCATCGCACAGCTCCTTGAGCTGACATACGCGTGCCGGCTAAGCCAATCGCAGCTCGGCCTCATTACCCGATCGCCCCCCCCGCCCCGCTCGCGTCTCTAACCATCGTGACGCGCCGCACCATGGCGCCTCGAAGTGCACCTAGTCTGGCGCACGCACCGTGGCGAGCCTGGGCAGGGCGAGGGGTGTGACCTTTTTTTTTGTGTTTTCTGAATTTTGCAGTTCGGAAGAAAGCGCAGCTCGAGAAGGACAGCGGAGTGAGGATCATCCAGATGGGCGTGGGCGAGGTGAGGCGCAGTGCCCCATCACCACCATCAACACCATCACCACCATCACCACCATCTACACCATCACCATCAACATCACCATCAACACCACCATCTACACCATCACCACCATCTACACCATCACCATCAACACCACCATCACCACCACCATCAACACCACCATCACCACCATCAACACCATCTACACCATCACCACCATCTACACCATCAACACCATCTACACCATCACCACCATCTACACCATCACCACCATCTACACCATCACCATCAACACCACCATCAACACCATCACCATCAACACCACCATCAACACCACCATCTACACCATCACCACCATCTACACCATCACCACCATCTACACCATCACCATCAACACCACCATCAACACCACCATCAACACCACCATCTACACCATCACCACCATCTACACCATCACCATCAACACCACCATCACCACCACCATCTACACCATCACCACCATCTACACCATCACCATCAACACCACCATCAACACCACCATCACCACCACCATCAACACCATCAACACCATCTACACCATCAACACCATCACCACCATCTACACCATCTACACCATCACCACCATCTACACCATCAACACCATCTACACCATCACCACCATCTACACCATCACCACCATCTACACCATCACCATCAACACCACCATCAACACCACCATCAACACCACCATCAACACCACCATCTACACCATCACCACCATCTACACCATCACCATCAACACCACCATCTACACCATCACCACCATCTACACCATCACCATCAACACCACCATCAACACCACCATCACCACCACCATCAACACCATCAACACCATCTACACCATCACCATCAACACCACCATCAACACCACCATCTACACCATCACCACCATTTACACCATCACCATCAACACCACCATCAACACCACCATCAACACCACCATCTACACCATCTACACCATCACCATCAACACCACCATCAACACCACCATCAACACCACCATCAACACCACCATCAACACCACCATCTACACCATCACCACCATCTACACCATCACCATCAACACCACCATCACCACCACCATCTACACCATCACCACCATCTACACCATCACCATCAACACCACCATCAACACCATCAACACCATCTACACCATCACCATCAACACCACCATCAACACCACCATCTACACCATCACCACCATCTACACCATCACCATCAACACCACCATCAACACCACCATCAACACCATCTACACCATCTACACCATCAACACCACCATCAACACCACCATCACCACCACCATCAACACCACCATCACCACCATCAACACCATCTACACCATCACCATCAACACCACCATCTACACCATCAACACCATCTACACCATCACCATCAACACCACCATCAACACCACCATCACCACCACCATCAACACCATCAACACCACCATCTACACCATCACCACCATCTACACCATCAACACCATCTACACCATCACCATCAACACCACCATCTACACCATCACCACCATCTACACCACCATCAACACCACCATCACCACCACCATCTACACCATCACCACCATCTACACCATCACCATCAACACCACCATCAACACCACCATCAGCACCATCACCACCATCTACACCATCACCATCAACACCATGACCATCAACACCACCATCACCACCACCATCAGCACCATCACCACCATCTACACCATCACCATCAACACCACCATCAACACCACCATCACCACCACCATCAACACCATCACCACCATCTACACCATCACCATCAACACCACCATCAACACCACCATCAACACCACCATCAACACCACCATCTACACCACCATCACCACCACCATCAACACCATCACCACCATCTACACCATCAACATCAACTCCACCATCACCACCACCATCAACACCACCATCACCACCACCACCATCAACACCATCACCACCATCTACACCATCACCATCAACACCACCATCAACACCACCATCACCACCACCATCAACACCATCTACACCATCTACACCATCAACACCATCACCACCATCACCACCACCATCAACACCACCATCACCACCACCATCAACACCACCATCACCACCATCAACACCATCTACACGATCACCACCATCTACACGATCACCATCAACACCATCAACACCACCATCACCACCACCATCAACACCACCATTATGAGCACCACCATCACCACCATCAACACCATCAACACCATCAACACCACCATCACCACCATCAACACCATCAACACCACCATGAACATCAACACCACCATCACCACCATCAACGCCATGACCATCATCACCATCATCACCACCATGACCATCAACACCATGACCATCACCACCATCAACACCATGACCATCAACACCACCATCAACACCACCATCAACACCATGACCATCACACCATCAACACCATGACCATCAACACCATGACCATCACCACCATCAACACCATGACCATCAACACCACCATCAACACCACCATCAACACCATGACCATCACACCATCAACACCATGACCATCAACACCATGACCATAAACACCATCAACACCACCATCAATATCATCAACACCATGACCATCAACACCATCAACACCATCATCAACACCATGACCATCACACCATCAACACCATGACCATCAACACCATGACCATCACCACCATCAACACCATGACCATCAACACCACCATCAACACCATGACCATCACACCATCAACACCATGACCATCAACACCATGATCATAAACACCATCAACACCACCATCAATATCATCAACACCATGACCATCAACACCATCAACACCATCATCAACACCATGACCATCAACACCACCATCACCATCATCAATATCATCAACACCATGACCATCAACACCAGTATCAACACCATGACCATCAACACCATGACCATCAACACCACCATCACCACCATCAATATCATCAACACCATGACCATCAACACCATCATCAACACCATGACCATCAACACCATGACCATCAACACCATCATCAACACCATGACCATCAACACCATGACCATCAACACCAGCATCAACACCATGACCATCAACACCATGACCATCACCACCATCAACACCATGACCATCAACGCCATCATAAACACCACCATCATGAGCACCACTATCACCATCGTCACCACCACCAACGCGGTGTGTCCATGAGTGCGTGAGCTCGGTGTGTGGTGTGCGTGAGTCTCTAGAGCGTCCAGCGTGGAGTGTGCAGTGTGGAGCGTGGAGTGTGGAGTGTAGAGTGTGGAGTGTGGAGCGTGGAGTGTGCAGTGTGGAGTGTGCAGTGTGGAGCGTGCAGTGTGCAGCGTGGAGCGTGCAGCGTGGAGTGTGCAGTGTGCAGTGTGGAGTTTGGAGTGTGGAGCGTGGAGTCTGCAGCGTGGAGTGTGGAGTGTTGAGTGTGCAGTGTGGAGTGTGCAGTGTGGAGTGTGGAGTGTGCAGTGTGGAGTGTGCAGTGCGGAGTGTGGAGTGTGCAGTGTGGAGTGTGCAGTGTGGAGTGTGCAGTGTGGAGTGTGCAGTGTGGAGTGTGGAGTGTGGAGTGTGGAGTGTGGAGTGTGGAGTGTGGAGTGTGCAGTGTGGAGTGTGCAGTGCGGAGTGTGGAGTGTGCAGTGTGGAGTGTGCAGTGTGGAGTGTGCAGTGTGGAGTGTGCAGTGTGGAGTGTGGAGTGTGCAGTGTGGAGTGTGCAGTGTGGAGTGTGCAGTGTGGAGTGTGCAGTGTGCAGCGTGGAGCGTGGAGTGTGCAGTGTGCAGTGTGGAGTGTGCAGTGTGGAGTGTGGAGTGTGGAGTGTGCAGTGTGCAGTGTGCAGTGTGGAGTGTGCAGTGTGCAGTGTGGAGTGTGCAGTGTGGAGTGTGGAGTGTGGAGTGTGCAGTGTGCAGTGTGCAGTGTGCAGTGTGGAGTGTGCAGTGTGGAGTGTGCAGTGTGCAGTGTGCAGTGTGCAGTGCGGAGTGTGGAGTGTGCAGCGTGGAGTGTGCAGTGTGCAGTGTGGAGTGTGCAGTGTGGAGTGTGCAGTGTGGAGTGTGCAGTGTGGAGTGTGCAGTGTGGAGTGTGCAGTGTGCAGTGTGCAGTGCGGAGTGTGGAGTGTGCAGTGTGGAGTGTGCAGTGTGGAGTGTGCAGTGTGCAGTGTGGAGTGTGCAGTGTGGAGTGTGGAGTGTGCAGTGTGGAGTGTGCAGTGTGGAGTGTGGAGTGTCACGTACTCCCTGGTGCCGCTCCCTTGCTTAACTTACGCTGCACTTCTCCCCCCCCCCTTCCCGTGTCGCTCTCCCCCCCTCTCTTTTCCCTCTCCCTCTCACCCTCTCTGCCCCCCCCCCTTCCTGTCTCCCCCACCCGCTCCCCCCTCCCCTCTCTCCTCCCTCCCCCCCTCTACACCCCCCCTCCCCCTCCCCCCTCCCCCCCTCCACGAGCAGCAGCAGCGTGTGGGTCTGCAGGTGGTGCCGCGGCCTGGCCGTGGCCAGGCGGCGTCCTCCCGGCGCCTGCTGGCGCTCTCCGTGGTGCTGGCGGCGTGCGTGGGCGGCGTGCTGGCGGCGGGCGCCGTGCTCTACTGCCTGCGCAGGCGGCAGGGGGGGGGCAAGGGGGGGGGGCACGCGGGGGGACACGCGGGCGGCACCGAGCCCAGCGCGGACTACCAGGTGAGCGGGAGGGTGAGCGGGAGGGTGAGCGGGAGGGTGAGCGGGAGGGTGAGCGGGAGGGTGAGCGGGCGGGTGAGCGGGAGGGTGAGCGGACGGGTGAGCGGGCGGGTGAGTGGGCGGTGAGCGGGAGGGTGAGCGGGAGGGTGAGTGGGCGGTGAGCGGGAGGGTGAGCGGGAGGGTGAGCGGGAGGGTGAGCGGGTGGGTGAGCGGGAGGGTGAGCGGGTGGGTGAGCGGGAGGGTGAGCGGGGCGGGTGAGCGGGAGGCTGAGCGGACGGGTGAGCGGGCGGGTGAGTGGGCGGTGAGCGGGAGGGTGAGCGGGAGGGTGAGTGGGCGGTGAGCGGGAGGGTGAGCGGGAGGGTGAGCGGGAGGGTGAGCGGGTGGGTGAGCGGGAGGGTGAGCGGGTGGGTGAGCGGGAGGGTGAGCGGGAGGGTGAGCGGGCGGGTGAGCGGGAGGGTGAGCGGACGGGTGAGCGGGCGGGTGAGTGGGCGGTGAGCGGGAGGGTGAGCGGGAGGGTGAGTGGGCGGTGAGCGGGAGGGTGAGCGGGAGGGTGAGCGGGAGGGTGAGCGGGTGGGTGAGCGGGAGGGTGAGCGGGTGGGTGAGCGGGAGGGTGAGCGGGAGGGTGAGCGGGCGGGTGAGCGGGAGGGTGAGCGGACGGGTGAGCGGGCGGGTGAGTGGGCGGTGAGCGGGAGGGTGAGCGGGAGGGTGAGCGGGGCGGTGAGCGGGAGGGTGAGCGGGAGGGTGAGCGGGAGGGTGAGCGGGTGGGTGAGCGGGAGGGTGAGCGGGTGGGTGAGCGGGAGGGTGAGCGGGAGGGTGAGCGGGCGGGTGAGCGGGAGGGTGAGCGGACGGGTGAGCGGGCGGGTGAGTGGGCGGTGAGCGGGAGGGTGAGCGGGAGGGTGAGTGGGCGGTGAGCGGGAGGGTGAGCGGGAGGGTGAGCGGGAGGGTGAGCGGGTGGGTGAGCGGGAGGGTGAGCGGGTGGGTGAGCGGGAGGGTGAGCGGGAGGGTGAGCGGGCGGGTGAGCCGGAGGGTGAGCGGACGGGTGAGTGGGCGGGTGAGTGGGCGGTGAGCGGGAGGGTGAGCGGGAGGGTGAGTGGGCGGTGAGCGGGAGGGTGAGCGGGAGGGTGAGCGGGAGGGTGAGCGGGTGGGTGAGCGGGAGGGTGAGCGGGTGGGTGAGCGGGAGGGTGAGCGGGAGGGTGAGCGGGAGGGTGAGCGGGAGGGTGAGCGGGCGGGTGAGTGGGGCGGTGAGCTGGAGGGTGAGCGGGCGGGTGAGCGGGTGGGTGAGCAGGCGGTGAGCGGGAGGGTGAGCGGGAGGGTGAGCGGGAGGGTGAGCGGGTGGGTGAGCGGGTGGGTGAGCAGGCGGTGAGCGGGAGGGTGAGCGGGAGGGTGAGCGGGAGGGTGAGCGGGTGGGTGAGCGGGTGGGTGAGCAGGCGGTGAGCGGGAGGGTGAGCGGGAGGGTGAGCGGGAGGGTGAGCGGGTGGGTGAGCGGGTGGGTGAGCGGGTGGGTGAGCGGGAGGGTGAGCGGGAGGGTGAGCGGGAGGGTGAGCGGGTGGGTGAGCGGACGGGTGAGCGGGTGGGTGAGCGGGCGAGTTTGTGAGCGGGCGGGCGAGTCGGTCGGTGAGCGGGTGAGTGTCCGGTTGATTGGGTGAGGGGCTTTGTGGAAATGCGGGCAGGTGGGTGGGTGAATGGGTGGATGGGCAGGCGGACGGATGGGTGGGTGACCAGGTGAGTGGGCAGGCGAGCGTGCGGTTGAGTGGTAGGGTGGGTGGGTGAGCGGGTTGGGTGGGTGGTTGAGCGGTTTTAGTGGGTGGGTGGGTGAGCGGGTGAGTGGGTGGGTGAGTGAGTGAGTGGGTGGGTGTGTGGGTGAGTGGTAGGGTGAGTGAGTGAGTGAGTGGTAAGGTGAGTGGGTGAGTGGTAGGGTGAGTGGTAGGGTGAGTGGTAGGGTGAGTGAGTGGGTGAGCGAGCGAGCGTGTGGGTGAGTGGGTGGGTGAGTGGGTGAGTGGGTGAGTGGTTTCAGGAAAGGGCGGTCCTGCACAGACGCCATATTTTCTGTCCGTCTGCTACAGCAGAGGTGTAGGGAATTCCAACAAGACCTACATCTCTGTTTTATTGACCTGGTCAAGGCCTATGATACCATCAGTAGGCCTGGGCTCTGGGTCGTTCTTCGTGCTTTTGGAATACCTGACCCTCTGCTCACGATCATTAAGGACCTTCATGATAATGAGCGGGCCCGGGTAAAACTACGTGGCCGGGAGTCAGAGCCATTCCCTGTACACCTTGGGATGCGACAGGGATGTCCTCTGTCTCCCAAATTATTTATCATCTATTTTGACCACATAGTTCGTGAAGCCTTCAATAGCTGTACCGGGGGAATCTCCATATGGTACAGATATAATGGGAGGCTGATCGATGCCCGGGTGCGGTCAAGGGATGGCTCCCTATTGGTCAACCACGTTATGTATGCTGATGATTTGGTAATAGCTGCTCAGTCAGAGGAGGAGTTGGAGACGCTGCTGCTGAGACTGGAGCGTGCCACTAAGAGGTGGGGCCTTACCATCAGCCCCACCAAAACTAAGCACCTGCCTGGGTATTTTGTACCATCGGACACTCCACCCCCACAACTCCCAATCGGTGATGGGGCAGTTGTGGAGAGAGTGGAGAGTTTCCCATACCTGGGTAGTGTGCTTATGACTGGCTCCAGTTTAACAGCAGAGGTCTCACTCCGAATCAGTCGAGCGGCAATATCTTTTCATCGGTTGCGTAACGCTGTGTGGAAGCTACCTGGTCTGTCGCTCCGCACTAAACTTCAGGTCTTCTCGGTCACGGGCAATTCCTTCCCTTCTCTACGCTTGCGAAACGTGGACCCCCCTAATTGAACATCTTCGCCGGTTAGAAACATTTAGGCTGGCCTGCCTACGATCCATCCTGGGTTTAACCAGACTGGATTGTGTGAGGAGCTCACAAATCTTTGAAAGATCTGGGCACGGTCCCATCGGTGAGCTCCTCCGGCGGGCAAGGCTGCGATGGCTGGGTCATGTAGCCCACATGCCCAGCCAACGCATGCCGAAACAGCTTTTGTTCGGCCGGATTGAGGGGGCTAAGCGGGCGCGGCACGGGCTAGAGAAGAGATGGAGTGATGTGGTACAGGAGGACGTGGAGCTGAGTGGACTTGCCGATGACTGGTACCAGCGGTGTCAAGATCGGCCTCTGTGGAGGAGGCTCGTGAAGGATGCTAATGGGCAGTTGGAGGCAGTCGCCCTCCAACAACAACGGAGGGCGGAGGAGCGACGCTCAGAACAACGAGCAGAGCGCCGCTTGGCTAAAGCACAGCAGGTTGGCACAGTAGGGGGCACAGGTGGTGCATCAGCCAGTCATCTCAGTCAGTCGACCCGTGGCACCTGAGTCTGCCCCGTGACCTCCTGCCAGCGGGCGTTCGACACTTCACGTGGCCTCAGGGTGCACATAGCCTGGCACAAGCGCCGTGGTGACGTCACCGCCACTTAGTGGCGAATGGCGGTTGTTGTTGTTGTTGTGTGTGTGAGAGAGAGTGTGTGTGTGAGTGAGTGTGTGTGTGTGAGTGAGTGAGTGGTAAGGTGTGAGTGTGTGAGTGTGTGAGTGAGTGAGTGTATGAGTGAGTGAGTGGTAAGGTGTGAGTGTGTGAGTGAGTGTGTGAGTGTGTGAGAGTGTGAGTGAGTGTGTGAGTGAATGAGTGTATGTGTGAGTGAGTGGTAAGGTGTGAGTGTGTGAGTGAGTGTGTGAGTGTGTGAGAGTGTGAGTGAGTGTATGAGTGAGTGAGTGGTAAGGTGTGAGTGTGTGAGAGTGTGTGAGTGAGTGAGTGTGTGAGTGAGTGTGTGAGTGAATGAGTGTATGTGTGAGTGAGTGTGTGAGTGTGTGTTTGAGTGAGAGTGTGTGTGAGTGTGAGTGAGTGTGTGTGAGTGTGTGTTAGTGTGTTAGTGAGTATGTGTGAGTGTGTGTGAGTGAGAGTGTGTGTGTGAGTGTGAGTGAGAGTGTGTGTGTGAGTGTGTGTGAGTGAGAGTGTGTGAGAGTGAGTGTGTGAGTGTGTGTGAGTGAGAGTGTGTGTGTGAGTGTGAGTGAGTGAGAGTGTGTGAGAGTGAGTGTGTGAGTGTGTGTGAGTGAGAGTGTGTGTGTGAGTGTGAGTGAGTGAGAGTGTGAGAGTGTGAGTGTGTGAGTGAGTGAGTGGTAAGGTATGAGTGAGTGTGTGAGTGTGAGTGAGTGTGTGTGAGTGTGTGAGTGAGTGAGTGTGTGAGTGTGTGTGTGAGTGAGAGTGTGTGTGTGAGTGAGAGTGTATTTGTGAGTGAGTGTGAGTGAGTGTATGAGTGAGTGAGTGGTAAGGTGTGAGTGTGAGTGAGTGTGAGTGAGAGTGTGAGTGAGTGTGTGAGTGTGTGAGTGAGTGAGAGTGAGTGTGAGTGAGTGTGTGAGTGAGTGTGAGTGAGTGTGTGAGAGTGAGTGTGAGTGAGTGTGTGAGTGTGAGTGAGTGTGAGTGTGTGTGAGTGTGTGTGTGAGTGAGTGTGTGAGTGTGTGTGTGAGTGTGTGTGTGAGTGTGTGAGAGTGAGTGTGAGTGAGTGTGTGTGTGAGTGAGTGTGTGTGTGAGTGAGAGTGTATTTGTGAGTGTGAGTGAGTGTATGAGTGAGTGAGTGGTAAGGTGTGAGTGTGAGAGAGTGTGTGTGTGAGTGTGTGAGAGTGAGTGTGAGTGAGAGTGTGTGTGTGAGTGTGTGTGAGTGAGTGTGTGAGTGTGAGAGTGTGAGTGAGTGTGTGAGTGTGAGTGAGTGTGAGTGAGAGTGTATTTGTGAGTGTGTGTGAGTGAGTGTGTGAGTGTGTGAGAGTGAGTGTGTGAGTGTGTGTGAGTGAGTGGTAAGGTGACAGTGTGAGTGAGTGTGTGAGTGAGTGTGTGAGTGAGAGTGTATTTGTGAGTGAGAGTGTGCTTGTCCCCCCAGGAGCTGTGCCGCCAGCGCATGGCGGCGCGCTGTGCGGAGCGTGGGGAGGGCAGCCCCCCGGCGCCCGCCCACGGCTCGCGCGTCAGCAGCGTCTCGTCCCAGCAGAGCGACGCGGCCCAGCGCAGCCCCTCGTCACGCAGCAGCTCCTCGTCGTGGTGCGAGGAGCCCGTCGCCTCCACCATGGACATCTCGACCGGCCACATGGTGCTGGTGAGCCCCCCGCGCCGCCCGCCCGCCCGCCCCCCAATCGGCGTGCGTTCGTGGAGCCTCCGGCCACCGTCGCTGGACCCGGTTCTCCATCGCTGAGCGGTGCCCCCCACCTCCACCCCACCCCCCCCCCCAGGCCTACATGGAGGACCACCTGAGCAACAAGGAGCGTCTGAGCCGCGAGTGGGAGTCGCTGTGCTCGGAGCAGGCGGACCCCGCCGTGTGCACCGTCGCTCTGGCGCCGCAGCACGCGCACAAGAACCGCACCGCGCACTCCACGCCCTGTACGGTGCACACACATACGCATACACACATACAGACTACACACACACACTACACATACACACACTCACACACACTACACATACACACACACATACAGACTACACACACACACTACACATACACACATACACACACATACACACACTACACATACACACACTCACACACACACACATACACACGTACATACACACACTACACATACACACACTACACACACACACTACACACACACATACACACACATACACATACACACATACAGACTACACACACACACTACACATACACACACTACACATACACACACTCACACACGTACACACACACACACTACACACACATACACTACACAACACAACAACCGCCATTCACCACTAAGTGGCGGTGACGTCACCACGACGCTTGTGCCAGGCTATGTGCACCCTGAGGCCACGTGAAGTGTCGAACGCCCGCTGGCAGGAGGTCACGGGGCAGACCCAGGTGCCACGGGTCGACTGACTGAGATGACTGGCTGATGCACCACCTGTGCCCCCTACTGTGCCAATCTGCTGTGCTTTAGCCACCCGGCGCTCCGCTCGTTGTGCTGAGCGTCGCTCCTCCGCCCTCCGTTGTTGTTGGAGGGCGACTGCCTCCAACTGCCCAGTAGCGTCCTTCACGAGCCTCCTCCACAGAGGCCGATCTTTACACCGCTGGTACCAGTCATCGGCAAGTCCATTCAGCTCCACGTCCTCCTGTACCACATCACTCCATCTCTTCTCTAGCCTGTGCCGCGCCCGCTTAGCCCCCTCAATCCGGCCGAACAAAAGCTGTTTCGGCATGCGGTGGCTGGGCATGCAGGCTACATGACCCAGCCATCGCAGCCTTCCCCGCCGGAGGAGCTCACCGATGGGACCTTACCCAGATCTTTCAAGGATTTGTGAGCTCCTCACACAATCCAGTCTGGTTAAACCCAGGATGAATCGTAGGCAGGCCAGCCTAAATGTTTCTAACCGGCGAAGATGTTCAATTAGGGGGGTCCACGTTTCGCAAGCGTAGAGAAGGGAGGGAATAACCGTGGCTGAGAAGACCTGAAGCTTAGTGCGGAGCGACAGACCAGGTAGCTTCCACACAGCGTTACGCAACCGATGAAAAGATTTTGCCGCTCGACTGATTCGGAGTGAGACCTCTGCTGTTAAACACACACTACACACACACATACACACAACAACAACCGCCATTCGCCACTAAGTGGCGGTGACGTCACCACGACGCTTGTGCCAGGCTATGTGCACCCTGAGGCCACGTGAAGTGTCGAACGCCCGCTGGCAGGAGGTCACGGGGCAGACCCAGGTGCCACGGGTCGACTGACTGAGATGACTGGCTGATGCACCACCTGTGCCCCCTACTGTGCCAACCTGCTGTGCTTTAGCCACCCGGCGCTCCGCTCGTTGTTCTGAGCGTCGTTCCTCCGCCCTCCGTTGTTGTTGGAGGGCGACTACCTTCAACTGACCAGTAGCATCCTTCACGAGCCTCCTCCACAGAGGCCGATCTTGACACCGCTGGTACCAGTCATCGGCAAGTCCACTCAGCTCCACGTCCTCCTGTACCACATCACTCCATCTCTTCTCTAGCCCATGCTGCGCCCGCTTAGCCCCCTCAATCCGGCCGAACAAAAGCCGTTTCGGCATGCGGTGGCTGGGCATGCGGGCTACATGACCCAGCCATCGCAGCCTTGCCCGCCGGAGGAGCTCACCGATGGGACCTTGCCCAGATCTTTCAAGGATTTGTGAGCTCCTCACACAATCCAGTCTGGTTAAACCCAGGATGGATCGTATGCAGGCCAGCCTAAATGTTTCTAACCGGCGAAGATGTTCCATTAGGGGGGTCCATGTTTCGCAAGCGTAGAGAAGGGAGGGAATGACCGTGGCCGAGAAGACCTGAAGCTTAGTGCGGAGCGACAGACCAGGTACCTTCCACACAGCGTTACGCAACCGATGAAAAGATATTGCCGCTCGACTGATTCGGAGTGAGACCTCTGCTGTTAAACTGGAGCCAGTCATAAGCACACTGCCCAGGTATGGGAAACTCTCCACTCTCTCCACAACTGCCCCATCACCGATTGGGAGTTGTGGGGGTGGAGTGTCCGATGGTACAAAATACCCAGGCAGGTGCTTAGTTTTGGTGGGGCTGATGGTAAGGCCCCATCTCTTAGTGGCACGCTCCAGGTTCAAAAGCAGCATCTCCAACTCCTCCTCTGACTGAGCAGCTATTACCAAATCATCAGCATACATAACGTGGTTGAGCAATAGGGAGCCATCCCTTGACCGCACCCGGGCATCGATTAGCCTCCCATTATATCTGTACCATATGGAGATTCCCCCGGTACAGCTATTGAAGGCTTCACGAACTACGTGGTCAAAATAGATGTTAAATAATGTGGGAGCCAGACGACATCCTTGTCGCACCCCAAGGTGTACAGGGAATGGCTCTGACTCCCGGCCACGTAGTTTTACCCGGGCCTTCTCACCATCATGAAGGTCCTTAATGATCGTGAGCAGAAGGTCAGGTACTCCAAAAGCACGAAGAACGACCCAGAGCCCAGGCCTACTGATGGTATCATAGGCCTTGACCAGGTCAATAAAGCAGATATATAGGTCTTGTTGGAATTCCCTACACCTCTGCTGTAGCAGACGGACAGAAAATATGGCATCTGTGCAGGACCGCCCTTTCCTGAAACCGCATTGGGGCTCCGCAAGCCTCTATAATCCTTGCCAGGACCTTTCCCGGCACACTGAGGAGTGAGATGCCCCTGTAGTTGTTACAGTCTGTGCGGTCCCCCTTCTTAAAAAGGGGGACCACCAGGGCATCCTTCCAATCCTGCGGAACCCCTCCAGTGGTCCAGACTGTTGTTATGATGTCATATAGGGCAGTTTGTGCACAAACGCCACCCTCCCTCAGCATTTCGCTTGGGAGATCATCTCTGCCCGCTGCCTTTCCTGGTCTCAGACTCCGGATACATACACAACAACAACCGCTATTCGCCACTAAGTGGCGGTGACGTCACCACGACGCTTGTGCCAGGCCATGTGCACCCTGAGGCCACGTGAAGTGTCGAACGCCCGCTGGCAGGAGGTCACGGGGCAGACCCAGGTGCCACGGGTCGACTGACTGAGATGACTGGCTGATGCACCACTTGTGCCCCCTACTGTGCCAATCTGCTGTGCTTTAGCCACCCGGCGCTCCGCTCGTTGTTGTGAGCGTCGCTCCTCCGCCCTGCGTTGTTGTTAGAGGGCGACTACCTCCCACTGCCCAGTAGCATCCTTCACGAGCCTCCTCCACAGAGGTCGATCTTGACACCGCTGGTACCAGTCATCGGCCAGTCCACTCAGCTCCACGTCCTCCTGTACCACATCACTCCATCGCTTCTCGCCCGTGCCGCGCCCGCTTAGCCCCCTCAATCCGGCCGAACAAAAGCTGTTTCGGCATGCGTTGGCTTGCATGCGGGCTATATGACCCAGCCATCGCAGCCTTGCCCGCCGGAGGAGCTCACTGATGGGACCTTGCCCAGATCTTTCAAGGATTTGTGAGCTCCTCACACAATCCAATTCGGTTAAACCCAGGATGGATCGTAGCCAGGCCAGCCTAAATGTTTCTAACCGGCTAAGATGTTTCATTAGGGGGGTCCACGTTTCGCCAGCGTAGAGAATGGAGGGAATGACCGTGGCCGAGAAGACCTGAAGCTTAGTGCGGAGTGACAGACCAGGTAGCTTCCACACAGCGTTACGCAACCGATGAAAAGATTTTTGCCGCTCGACTGATTCGGAGTGAGACCTCTGCTGTTAAACTGGAGCCAGTCATAAGCACACTACCCAGGTATGGGAAACTCTCCACTCTCTCCACAACTGCCCCATCACCGATTGGGAGTTGTGGGGGTGGAGTGTCCGATGGTACAAAATATCCAGGCAGGTGCTTAGTTTTGGTGGGGCTGATGGTAAGGCCCCACCTCTTAGTGGCACGCTCCAGTCTCAGCAGCAGCGTCTCCAACTCCTCCTCTGACTGAGCAGCTATTACCAAATCATCAGCATACATAACGTGGTTGACCAATAGGGAGCCATCCCTTGACCGCACCGGGCATCGACCAGCCTCCCATTATATCTGTACCATATGGAGATTCCGCCGGTACAGCTATTGAAGGCTTCACGAACTACGTGGTCAAAATAGATGTTAAATAATGTGGGAGCCAAAGGACATCCCTGTCGCACCCCAAGGTGTACAGGGAATGGCTCTGACTCCCGGCCACGTAGTTTTACCCGGGCCCGCACACCATCATGAAGGTCCTTAATGATCGTGAGCAGAGGGTCAGGTACTCCAAAAGCACGAAGAACGACCCAGAGCCCAGGCCTACTGATGGTATCATAGGCCTTGACCAGGTCAATAAAGCAGAGATGTAGGTCTTGTTGGAATTCCCTACACCTCTGCTGTAGCAGACGGACAGAAAATATGGCATTTGTGCAGGACCGCCCTTTCCTGAAACCGCACATACACACACACATACACACATACATATACACACATACACACACTCACACACTCCTACGCCCACACAACAACAACCGCCATTCGCCACTAAGTGGCGGTGACGTCACCACGACGCTTGTGCCAGGCTATGTGCACCCTGAGGCCACGTGAAGTGTCGAACGCCCGCTGGCAGGAGGTCACGGGGCAGACCCAGGTGCCACGGGTCGACTGACTGAGATGACTGGCTGATGCACCACCTGTGCCCCCTACTGTGCCAACCTGCTGTGCTTTAGCCACCAGGCGCTCCGCTCGCTGTTGTGAGCGTCGCTCCTCCGCCCTCCGTTGTTGTTGGAGGGCGACTGCCTCCAACTGCCCAGTAGCATCCTTCACGAGCCTCCTCCACAGAGGCCGATCTTGACACCGCTGGTACCAGTCATCGGCAAGTCCACTCAGCTCCACGTCCTCCTGTACCACATCACTCCATCTCTTCTCTAGCCCGTGCCGCGCCCGCTTAGCCCCCTCAATCCGGCCAAACAAAAGCTGTTTCGGCATGCGGTGGCTGGGCATGCGGGCTACATGACCCAGCCATCGCAGCCTTGCCTGCCGGAGGAGCTCACCGATGGGACCCTGCCCAGATCTTTCAAGGATTTGTGAGCTCCTCACACAATCCAGTCTGGTTAAACCCAGGATGGATCGTAGGCAGGTCAGCCTAAATGTTTCTAACCGGCGAAGATGTTCCATTAGGGGGGTCCACGTTTCGCAAGCGTAGAGAAGGGAGGGAATGACCGTGGCCGAGAAGACCTGAAGCTTAGTGCGGAGCGACAGACCAGGTAGCTTCACGAACTACGTGGTCAAAATAGATGTTAAATAATGTGGGAGCCAGAGGACATCCCTGTCGCACCCCAAGGTGTACAGGGAATGGCTCTGACTCCCGGCCACGTAGTTTTACCCGGGCCCGCTCACCATCATGAAGGTCCTTAATGATCGTGAGCAGAGGGTCAGGTACTCCAAAAGCACGAAGAACGACCCAGAGCCCAGGCCTACTGATGGTATCATAGGCCTTGACCAGGTAAATAAAGCAGAGATGTAGGTCTTGTTGGAATTCCCTACACCTCTGCTGTAGCAGACGGACAGAAAATATGGCATCTGTGCAGGACCGCCCTTTCCTGAAACCGCATTGGGGCTCCGCAAGCCTCTCCTCAGCGTGCCTGGCAAGGCGATGCTGAATAATCCTTGCCAGGACCTTTCCCGGCACACTGAGGAGTGAGATGCCCCTGTAGTTGTTACAGTCTGTGCGGTCCCCCTTCTTAAAAAGGGGGACCACCAGGGCATCCTTCCAATCCTGCGGAACCCGTCCAGTGGTCCAGACTGTTGTTATGATGTCATATAGGGCAGTCTGTGCACAAACGCCACCCTCCCTCAGCATTTCGCTTGGGAGATCATCTCTGCCCGCTGCCTTTCCTGGTCTCAGACTCCGGATCGCCTTCAATACTTCCTCAGCAGATGGCACCTCAGCCAGCCACTCACAGGGGGTGACTTCATCCAATATTTGAGGCACCGCAGCCTCAGCAGGGTCATCCTCACTTTGTGCCACGATGTTTTCCTGGCTGAGGGATTTTCCCTCCCCCAGGACCTCACAGAAATGCTCAGCAAATCTGCGAACCTGTTCCTGGGGGTCGGAAATTGGATCACCGTTTTTTCCCCTAATGATGGTAATAGGTGTGGCGCTGCAGGTTACTTTTTTGATGGAGTTAAATAGAGATTTGTGATCACGGGCCACTGAGGCAGACTCCATCTCCTCAGCAACCCGCGACCACCACCCATCCTTGCAGCGCCTCACGGCTCTCCGAACCTCCGAGCGAAGGCTGCGGTAAGCCTCCTCATTCTCTGACGTGGGATTCTGTAGCCGATGACAGTGGGCCTGTCGCTTTTTCTCAACCATCCTGAACAACTCCTCTGTCATCCAGGGTGTCTGGGGAGGTCTGGACCGCGTACCCAAAGCAGCCATTGCAGCTGCATGAGTCACAGTCCTAAACCTCGCCCATTTACCCTCGACATCAGGAGGAGTTGGGGACGATGCCAATCCCAGCCGCAAGCGATGATGAAATTCTCGCTTGCAACTTTCATCAGATAACTGAGACCAGGCCACTTTAGGTTGGAATGGGGTCCTGGGTGTACACCCACCACCGGAGTGGAAGAATGGCAGGCGCATCTTACAGATGACTAGTCGATGGTCAGAGGGCAGATCAGCTCCACGGTAGGTCCTGGTGTCAAGGACATGGGCTCGCATTCGCTGGTCCGTCACTATGTAGTCCAGCAGATGTTCTTGCTTGGACCCGGCATGCATCCATGATGTTGTGTGGATGCGCCGATGCCGGAACAGCGTGTTGGTAATTACAAGCCCATGGGCTGCACAAAAATCTAGCAGCCTCCTACCGTTGTTATTGAGCTGATCTGGCCCATGCCCTCCAATCACACCAGACCAGGTGCCAGTATCATGACCAACTCGGGCATTGAAGTCACCCAACATGATGACTCTATCCCGAGGGGCCACTTTAGCCAGCACCTGTGACAGGAGGTCATAGAAGGCATCTGACTCATCGGCTTTGCCTGCATCCCTCCACGGATGTTCATCTTCGGTGGGGGCATAAGTAACCACGACCACCATTCCTCGCCTCCGGTTGATGGGAAGGCGAGCCCAAAGTAGCCTGGGGCTTACAGCTTCCCACACCTCACCGCCACGCTCCCACGCCCCCTTCATTCTTTTGTTCAAAAGAAGACCCACACCCTGTTGTTTGGCAGTCTGCTGCCCCGAGTAGAGGACTGTCCACCCCTCATGGTGGCAGGAGCCAGAGCCGGTCCACCGGACCTCCTGAATGCCGCATAGATCCAGGCGGTACCGGTCCAGCTCCCGACAGAGGAGTGGCAGCCTCTCCTCTGCAGTGAGCGTTCGAACATTCCACGTGGCCACCCGTAGTGGCTTTTCGTTGTTTCTGGAGTAGCCCCGAGGGTAGGTATTCAATCTCCTGGCTCCGCCAATTGGGGTTTGGCCAGGAGACGTCATAGACGCCTGGCCCCCCGGGGCCTCCGGCACAAGCTTAGTTGTTACATATTTCAGTTTAATTCGTGGTTTTGTGGTAATTAATTGAAGGTGGAGGGGTTACCAGCCCCTCGCACCCGTCCAGAGCCCCCGTTTAGCCCCTGTGGTGGACACATATGCCATGAGGGGAGGAGCCAATCAAAATTGGAACTCCCACCACAGCGCTGTCCACGACAGAGTTGCCCGTCCGGCACCGCGAGGAGGTAGGGGGTTGTTTTGCCGGACGCCCACACACTCACACACTCACACACACATACACTCACACTACACACACTACACATACACACACTCACAAAGATCCCCCGAATAGCCTTAACAGACTGTAGGGGCAAGTGCTGTTAGCGAGCACCTATGAAGGCCGGCACGGCACACGAGGGGGTGGGTTACCAACACCGCGCCCGGCCGCCTTTGTCTCCCTAGTGGCGATGTTTACACACCACACCAAGTACTAATTTGAGGCTGAGTCGACCTACGGGAGGCCCAGAACCGGTTCAGATAATCGTCATTGGGTGTTGGCCTTGAGCGGGAATCGAATTCGGGTAGCTGGGTGCATAGCGCAGTGCGCTGACTGCTGCACTACTACTCCCCAAACACACACACATACAGACGCGTACACACACGTGTACACACATGCTCGCCAAAGTTGCCGATGTTGATGATTGCTTTGCTTGTGTAACTAGGGGGTGATGATGGTGATGACGTCTGTGATGACGATGACGATGATGGTGATGGAGGTGATGGTGAGGATGGTGATAGTAGTAATGATGGTGATGATGGTGAGGATGGTGATAGTACTAATGATGGTGATGATGGTGATGAGTACCCATCCTGCCCCACCGCCCCTCCCCCCCAGACGACCATGCTCGCATCGTCCTCAAGGCCGACGTCAACCCCTCCCACTCGGACTACATCAACGCCAGCCCCATCGTACGTGGCCCCCCATCACCATCAACAACATCACCAGCAGCACCACTACCATCACCACCAGCAACATCACTACTACACACCACCAACATCACTAATACCACCACAATCACCACCACCACTGGCGTTACTACCACCATCACCACCAACAACAACCGTCATTCGCCACTAAGTGGCGGTGACATCACCACCACGTTTGTGCCAGGCTATGTGCACCTTGAGGCCACATGAAGTGTCGAACGCCCGCTGGCAGGAGGTAAAGGGGCAGACCCAGGTGCCACAGGTCGACTGAGACGACTGGCTGTAGCACCACCTGTGCCCCCTACTGTGCCAACCTGCTGTGCTTTAGCCACCCGGCGCTCTGCTCGTTGTTGTGAGCGTCGCTCCTTCGCCCTCCGTTGTTGTTGGAGGGCGACTGTCTCCAACTGCCCAGTAGCGTCCTTCACGAGCCTCCTCCACAGAGGCCGATCTTTACACCGCTGGTACCGGTCATCGGCAAGTCCACTCAGCTCCACGTCCTCCTGTACCACATCACTCCATCTCTTCTCTAGCCCGAGTCGCACCCGTTTAGCCCCCTCAATCCGGCCGAACAGAAGCTGTTTCGGAATGCGGTGGCTGGGCATGCGGGCTACATGGCCCAGCCAGCGTAGCCTTGCCCGCCGGAGGAGCTCACCGATGGGACTTTGTCCATTTCTTTCAAGGATTTGTGAGCTCCTCACAAAATCCAGCCAGCTTAAACCCAGAATGGATAGTAGGCAGGCCAGCCTAAATGTTTCTAATCAGCGAAGATGTTCCATTAGGGGGGTCCACATTTTGCAAGCGTAGAGAAGGGAAGGAATGACTGTGGCCGAGAAGACCTGAAGCTTCGTGCGGAGCGACAGACCAGGTCGCTTCCACGCAGCGTCACGCAACCGATGAAAAGATAATGCCGCTCGACTAATTCGGAGTGAGACCTCTGCTATTAAACCGGATGGTAAGGCCCCACCTCTTAGTGTCAAGCTCCAGGTTCAGCAGCAGTGCCTCCAAATCCTCCTCTAAGTGAGCAGCAATTACTAGATCATCGACATACGTAACATGGTTGAGCAATAGGGAGCCATCCCTTGACCGCATCCGGGCATCGATCAGCCTCCCATTGTATCTGTACCAGATGGAAATTCCCCCGGTACAGCTATTGAAGGCTTCACGAACTACGTGGTCGAAATAGATGTTAAATAATATGAGAGCCAGAGGACATCTCTGTTGCACCCCAAGGTGTACAGGGAATGGCTCCGACTCCCGGCCACGTAGTTTTACCCGGGCCCGCTCACCTTCATGAAGGTCCTTAATGATTCATAATAACGTTTTTTGGGTTAGATCGCGTTTATTTATAAATGTGTCGTAACCCTCCACCACCCGACACGGCCAATCAGCAAAAAAAAGTGTCACGTTGACAAAAGACAAATAATTCACTACTTTAGCCCACCGGTGTGTTGAAGAGTGAATCCACATTTACAGTTTGAGTACGACGTTTCGCTGGTAAATACTTCCAGCATCATCGGGCAATTCGCCAGAATGGTAAAGCCCTCGCTTGCTCCCGGTTTTATATAGAGCAGCAGGGTGACGTCATCACTTAACTCATATCAGGTGCAGTGATTAGAGGCGGAGGGGGGGGGTAATGTAATTATATAATCGATTAGTAATCAGTCATTGGTTATGATTAGTAATGAGTTGTAGATTAGTAATTCTTTAAATCAAAATGTAATGTGTATTATTTAATAATACGCTTCCAGGCCGCACTAAGCCGGTAGCTGTCAGAGCGATTAAAGTTATTCTTGTTCCTCTCAATTTCAATGGATTCTCTAATTAGTCTTTGCCAGTAATAATTAGTTTTACACACCACTGCAACATTGTCAAAATCAATTGAGTGTCCTTGTTGACAAGCATGTTCTGCCACTGCCAACAGTTGTGTTTGAGATAATTTAATATTTCTCTGATGTTCTTTTAGTCTTACACTGATGTTACGTCCCGTCTGCCCAATGTAGCAGCTGCCACATGAACAATTAATCCGATATACACCTTCTGTTGATAGTTTAGGTAATGCGTCTTTAGTGCAAGATACTAGTTTTTGAATTTTGTGTACTGTACCAAATCTTACTGTAATGTTTTGCTTTTGCAAAACGCGGGCTAATTTGTCAGTTACTCCTGAGATATATGGAATTTTTATTGTTTTAACAATCTGGTCGCTTTCAGCAGTATTGCTTTGCGATCGTGATTTGGCATTCAGTGCTCTGTTAATTTGAGCATTATTGTAGCCATTCTGTCGTAGTGCGTCTTTAACGTGTTTAATCTCTCTCACTAGACTCTCACCATCTGACACTGTTTTAGCCCGATGTATGAGCGTCTTGATAAGAGAGGATTTCTGAGCTGGATGATGATGTGATTCTGCATTCAGATAGGCATCAGTGTGCGTTTGCTTTCTGTAAACACTGTGTGTTATTTTACCGTTTAGGCCATGTCCAAGCAAAATATCTAGGAATGGGAGTGTGTTATTCACCTCCATTTCCATGGTGAACTGTATGGCCGGGTTTTGTGCATTGAGATGATTTAGAAAATCATTAAGTGTATCTTTACCATGTGGCCAGACAACCAAAGTGTCATCCACATATCTAAACCAAAAGGATGGTTTTAATGTGCTCGAGGCAAGTGCTCTTATTTCAAAGTTTTCCATGTACAAATTTGCTATAGCAGGGGATAAAGGAGAACCCATTGCTGCTCCTTCCTTTCGTTTAAAGAAATCCCCTCTCCATAAGAAGTAAGTGTTATTTAAACAATGGCCAGCAAGTTTCGGAATATCTTTTCGTAAACCAGTATTCTTTACTAGTGTATCAAGTAATTTAAGCGATTCGTCCACTGGAACCTTAGTGAATAGAGAAATCACATCAAAACTTACCAGAATATCATCAGGAGTAAGTTTAATATCTTTAATCACATTCACAAGATGTTCTGAAAGACGCACTACGACAGAATGGCTACAATAATGCTCAAATTAACAGAGCACTGAATGCCAAATCACGATCGCAAAGCAATACTGCTGAAAGCGACCAGATTGTTAAAACAATAAAAATTCCATATATCTCAGGAGTAACTGACAAATTAGCCCGCGTTTTGCAAAAGCAAAACATTACAGTAAGATTTGGTACAGTACACAAAATTCAAAAACTAGTATCTTGCACTAAAGACGCATTACCTAAACTATCAACAGAAGGTGTATATCGGATTAATTGTTCATGTGGCAGCTGCTACATTGGGCAGACGGGACGTAACATCAGTGTAAAACTAAAAGAACATCAGCAGAGAAATATTAAATTATCTCAAACACAACTGTTGGCAGTGGCAGAACATGCTTGTCAACAAGGACACTCAATTGATTTTGACAATGTTGCAGTGGTGTGTAAAACTAATTATTACTGGCAAAGACTAATTAGAGAATCCATTGAAATTGAGAGGAACAAGAATAACTTTAATCGCTCTGACAGCTACCGGCTTAGTGCGGCCTGGAAGCGTATTATTAAATAATACACATTACATTTTAATTTAAAGAATTACTAATCTACAACTCATTACTAATCATAACCAATGACTGATTACTAATCGATTATATAATTACATTACCCCCCCCCCTCCGCCTCTAATCACTGCACCTGATATGAGTTAAGTGATGACGTCACCCTGCTGCTCTATATAAAACCGGGAGCAAGCGAGGGCTTTACCATTCTGGCGAATTGCCCGATGATGCTGGAAGTATTTACCAGCGAAACGTCGTACTCAAACTGTAAATGTGGATTCACTCTTCAACACACCGGTGGGCTAAAGTAGTGAATTATTTGTCTTTTGTCAACGTGACACTTTTTTTTTTGCTGATTGGCCGTGTCGGGTGGTGGAGGGTTACGACACATTTATAAATAAACGCGATCTAACCCAAAAACCGTTATTATGAATAATATTGGTCGCGAAAGCCTACGTGTTAAACTGTCCTTAATGATCATGAGCAGAGGGTCAGGGAATCCGAAAGTACGAAGAACAACCCAGAGCCCAGGCCTATTGATAGTATCATAGGCTTGGACCAGGTCAATAATGCAGAGATGTAGGTCTTGTTGGAATTCCCTAAACCTCTGCTGTAGCATACGGACAGAAAATATGGCATCTGTGCAGGACCGCCCTTTCCTGAAACCGCATTGGGGCTCTGCAAGCCTCTCCTCAGCGTGCCTAGCAAGGCGATGTTGAATAATCCTTGCCAGGACCTTTCCCGGCACACTGAGGAGTGAGATGCCCCTGTAGTTGTTACAGTCTGTGCGGTCCCTCTTCTTAAAGAGGGGGACCACCAGGGCATCCTTCCAATCCTGCAGAACCCGTCCAGTGGTCCAGACTGTTGTTATGATGTCATGTAGGGCAGTCTGTGCACAAACGCCACCCTCCATCAGCATTTCTCTTGGGAGATCATCTCTGCCCGCTGCCTTTCTTGGTCTCAGGCTCTGGATCGCCTTCAGGACTTCCTCAACAGATGGCACCTCAGCCAGCCAGTCACAGGGGGTGACTTCTTCCAATATTTGAGGCACCGCAGCCTCAGCAGGGTCATCCCCACATTGTCCCACGTTTGTTTTCCAGGCTGAGGGATTTTCCCTCCCCCAGGACTTCACAGAAATGCTCAGGAAATCTGCAAACCTGTTCCTGGGGGTCGGAGATTGGATCACCGTTCTTTCCCCTAATGATGGTAATAGGTGTGGTGCTGCAGGTTACTTGTTTGATGGAATTAAAGAGCGATTTGTGATCGTGGGCCATTGAGGCAGACTTCATCTCCTCAGCAACCCGCGACCACCACCCATCCTTGCAGCGCCTCACGGCTCTCCAAACCTCCGAGTGAAGGCTGCGGTAAGCCTCCTCATTCTCCGACGTGGGATGCTGTAGTCGATGAGAGTGGGCCTGTTGCTTTTTCTCAGCCAGCTTGAACACCTCCTCTATCAGCC